CTCATGGTATGGTTGGGAGTTTCTTATTGGGGCTTAACAGAGGTACATTTTTGTGAGAAAGGTGTAAAAACGAATGCAGTTGTGTATCAAAATACAGTCCTGACTTGTTTCTCATACCATGTTCAACAGGCAACGGTATCCCATATCAAAGATTCGGCGCCAAAGCCTCAATAGATGCCGATATGATGCCACACATAGAATGGGCTGGCGGGTCCTGCCGTGAAAATCGACTTCATCTCCTGGCACTGAAGGACTGGCTCTCTCCCTCCTCTCCAGTCTCAAGATTTGAATCTTAGTTATTATAATGATATGGCAAATCATCAGGTGGACTTGGGTGTAGCGGGTTATATTCAGGTATCAACCCACTAACAGTCGATACGTCCAGGAATCGAACCCGAACGGCGTCCGGCCACAAGCAAATCGATGTCGGTAAATTAAACGAAACAATACGAGAAATAGTTATATATTACGACAACACGATACACTACAGATTATTAACAAATTAACGAGACACAAAACAAACGACTAACAAATATGTGAATTTACAATAACGAGAGAAACGCGCGATCAGTACGAGGCTTTGTGGCGGACTGCCGGCGCAGCAGCTCGGCGTCACCTGCGATAACGCGGCCGCGCGTTGGCTCCTGATTGGCGCGCGCACGCATCACCTGATTCTTGCGCGCAGGTCCGCACTCAGGTAGCCGTGGCAGGATGATGCCACAGTACTCCCCCGCCGAGACCGATAGCTACGGTCGATAGTAGTCCGGGAAGGTGACTGTACGGCCGCTTCTCGTCTTTTGTACTGGACGCTGATGTTCTTCGCTCGCCTCGCTGGTCTTCTGTTTGTCTTCTCTCTTGCCATCGTCTCGCGTGATATAGGCAGGTTTTAGGCGATCTATGGTGACAGTTAATTGTTTGCCATTTACCTCAATGTCGAACGATTTCGATCCTCTTCTTAAGACTTTGTAGGGGCCAATGTATGGTGGTTCGAGCGACTTTCGGAGGGGTCCTTGCCTCAAGAACACATGGGATGTCGTGTTTAAGTCCTTAGGCACGTAGAAGGTTCGGTTTTCGCTGTGCCATGTAGTCGGTCGAGGGGCAAGTTTGTTCATATGTCCGCGTAGTCGATAAGCCAGGTCGTTGTCGTCTCCTGGGGGTGCTGCGGATGTGTTGAAGAACTGTCCAGGTAAGCGGAGAGGCTCACCGTAGACCAGTTCTGCTGCGGATGCCTGGATGTCATCTTTCCAGGCGCTGCGGATGCCCAGAAGTACCATGGGAAGACTTTCGGTCCATCGTGGGTTGGCGTGGCACATGACGGCTGCTTTGAGTTGTCGGTGTAGCCTTTCGACAAGGCCGTTGGCTGCGGGGTGGTAGGCCGTCGTCGTGTGATGGCAGGTGCCGATCAGGGTAGCAATAGCTTTGAACAGGTGAGATTCAAATTGCCTGCCCCGGTCGGTCGTGATGTGTTCTGGGCAGCCGAAGCGGGCGACCCAGCCAGCGACAAAGGCGCTGGCGCAGGTCTCTGCGGTGATGTCGCGCAGGGGAATTACCTCGGGCCATCGACTGTGACGGTCAACAAGCGTAAGACAAAACCTGTAACTATCAGAAATAGGTAAAGGTCCGATAATGTCCATGTGTACGTGACGAAAACGAGCAGTAGGTAGTTTAAACTGGGACAAAGGTGCTGCTGTGTGTTTATGCACCTTGCAGCGTTGACATTCCTGACATTCCTTCACCCATCTGCTGCAGTCCTTGCGTATGCCTTTCCATACGAAGCGGTCGGTGATGAGTTTGATTGTAGCCTTTCTACCCGGATGACTGAGGTTGTGCAGATTATGGAATACCTGTCTTCGGAATTGCTCAGTGATGTATGGTCGTGGAACTGATGTTGACATGTCGCAGTACACGTCGACATCTGTGCCGGGTACTCTAACACTTTTGAGTGTGAGACTTGAGCCTTCTCGGATGAGGTTATTGAGTTCGGTATCGGTTTTCTGAGCTTGGGCGAGGGACTGGTACTCTAGCGTCGCAGCTCCTACCTCTTCGATGCGGGAAAGAGTGTCAGCGACTACGTTGTCTTTGCCGGGAATGTAGCGGATGTCGGTTGAGAACTGGGAAATGTAGTCCAAGTACCTGTATTGTCGTGGTGAACAGCTGTCTCGACGTGTGGTGAAGGCATAAGTCAACGGTTTATGGTCCGTGAGCACGGCGAATGTCCTTGCCTCTACCATGTATCTGAAGTATCGTATCGCTTCGTAGACTGCTAGCAGTTCTCGGTCGTACGGACTGTACCTCTTCTGGGATGACGTTAGTTTCCTGGAGAAAAAAGCTAATGGTGCCCAACCTTTTGTCGTTCGTTGCTGGAGCACGGCTCCGATAGCCTTATCTGAGGCATCAGTCTGGATGGTTAGTTCAGCGTTCACGTCCGGGTGTACTAAAAGAGCGGATTGACATAAGCAATGTTTACAGTTCTCGAAAGCTTGCTGTAGCGCTGGGGTCGCTTCAATCGGCTGTTTCCCTCTGCACTTTTCTCCACATAGCAGCGCGTTAAGTGGTGCCTGAATTTCTGCGGCTTTTGGTAGAAATTTTCTGTAAAAATTGATCATACCTAAAAAGCGTCGAAGCTCTTTAATCGTTGCAGGGAAGGGGAAATCTAAAATGGCTTGCACCTTCGATTCGAGCGGGCGTATTCCGGCAGAAGATACGTGGAATCCCAAAAATGTGACTTCTGGTTTGCCGAAGTGGCATTTAGCAACGTTGATTAGAACACCGTACTCTTGAAGACGCTGGAATAGTTTTTTTAAATGTTGGCGATGCTCTTCTTCGGATGACGAATATACCAAAATGTCATCTAAGAAGACAAAGGCGAAGTCTAAGCCTCTGAGTACCTCATCCATGAAACGTTGGAATGTCTGCGCGGCATTCCGAAGTCCGAACGTCATGAACGGAAATTCGAACATGCCGAATGGTGTTGTTATTGCCGTCTTCTTGATGTCGTTAGGATGAACTGGTATCTGGTTATAGGCCTTTATTAAGTCCACAGTACTGAATATCGTCTTACCTGCCAGCTGGTATGTGAAGTCCTGAATATTTCTAACAGGGTATTTGTCTGGTATAGTGCGAGCGTTGAGTGCCCTGTAGTCGCCGCACGGTCGCCAGCCGTCGTCCTTCTTACGTGCGAGGTGAAGAGGAGAGGACCACGAACTTTCGGATCTTCGAGCGGTGCCGTTCTGTAGCATTTCTTCGAATTCCTTTTTAGCGATTTGGAGTCTCTCTGGGTCAAGACGTCGCGGGCGGCTGGTTACTGGCGGACCCGGGGTTATTCTTATATGATGCACCGTGGTATGCTTAGGATCAACGTGTTTACCAGCTGGACGAGTAATATCTGGATACTGGCGTAATAGGTCGTGGTATTTCGTACCTTCATGGCTCAGTACTGTGCGAACGGATTGTAGTTCGTCGATCCGTCCCCGGTGTGGTGCTGTGACAAAAAGTGATGTGAGTCCGTCGAGTAGCCTTTTGTTTCTGCAATCGACGAGCAGGTTGTAAAAGCTGAGAAAGTCTACGCCAATAATCGGCTTTGACACATCAGCTATCACGAAACGCCATCGGAAGTCTCTTCGAAGGCCTAGGTCCAAGTGTAAGTTAACGTGCCCGTAAGTAGCAATTATCGTGCCATTCGCTGCGTATAATTCGTATTTTGTTTTGGCTTGTACAGGAATTCGTATTGCTGTACGTGGGTAAACGCATAAGTCCGACCCTGTATCGACCAGGTACTGCACCTTACTTTTTCGCTCTACGACGAAGATTCGGCCTGATGGCGCGGGACAACCGGTTGAGGCCACTAGCGGTTTCCCTTGGAGTTTTCCGAGGCGTAGCTGCACGGCTGTCTACACTTCTTTGCCTTATCTCCAAACTCAAAGTGGTACCAGCAGTGTGGATGGTCGTCTGGTCGTTGCCGTGTTTGAGTTCTGGACCTGGAGCGTATGTGGCGCGAGTTTGACCTGGGACGGGTGTCGCGTCTTCCATACTGTCTGCCACGGCGGCTCTGTATATTTACAAGTGCTTCTACTTGCCTCGACAGCGCTTCTATGCGTAGCTCTAATGTAGAACTGGGGGTACTTGTCGAAGTAGTCCTTGATCCGGCACTGGCTATTACTGGTGTTGACGGCTGCACTATGTCCACGATGCGGTCGGCAAGCTCGGCTGCGCCTTCGAGGTCCAGCTTTGGTTGTGATGCTACAACAGTCTGTATGTTTACAGGTAACCGACTGGTCCACACCGTCCGTAGAAAGTCGCTCGGAATGTCCGGTCCGGCCAAGTACTGTAGATGTTGTAGGAATTGGCTCGGCTTTCTATCTCCCAGCTCCTCGTGTTGCAGCAACTGTAGCGTTTTTTTCTCTCTGGACACGGTTATCCGACGTATTAGCTGCTCTTTAAACGTTTTGTATTTATCCATAAGCGGTGGTGCAGTTAGGATGTCTTTCATCACCCTAGCGTACTCCTGGTTGAGCTGTGATGACACCGTGTGGTACATGGTGCTGTCGCTATTTATGCCAGCGAGGGCAAATTGGCCTTCGACTTGCGCAAACCACACCTCCGGTTCTTCAGGCCAGAAGGGCGGCACTCGTACAGACACTCGGCTCACCTCTGAGTTCGGCCCTGTGTTTTCTCCGCTACCGCCGGTATCTTCGCTAGTCGACGCGCTGCTCTTATCTTTTTTGGAAGCCATGATGCACGTCGATCCACGATCACGTCGGGGTCACCAATGTAGCGGGTTATATTCAGGTATCAACCCACTAACAGTCGATACGTCCAGGAATCGAACCCGAACGGCGTCCGGCCACAAGCAAATCGATGTCGGTAAATTAAACGAAACAATACGAGAAATAGTTATATATTACGACAACACGATACACTACAGATTATTAACAAATTAACGAGACACAAAACAAACGACTAACAAATATGTGAATTTACAATAACGAGAGAAACGCGCGATCAGTACGAGGCTTTGTGGCGGACTGCCGGCGCAGCAGCCCGGCGTCACCTGCGATAACGCGGCCGCGCGTTGGCTCCTGATTGGCGCGCGCACGCATCATCTGATTCTTGCGCGCAGGTCCGCACTCAGGTAGCCGTGGCAGGATGATGCCACACAACATTTCAGTTACTATTGATTCTAATGATACTCATAATGATTATGTTTGCCATTCTGTTGAAGTTCTACATGAAGCAGATAATCATCAAATTTTGATTGACCAAAAACTTAAGAGCGCAGGTGATAGAAGACGTTTCCAGATTTTTGATTATTATTGGAGTCTTGGTAGCCTGCAACGCCAGAGGGATTGGATCGCAAAAAGCGTGATAAAGAAAGAAGTAAAGACTCATACTACAGATAAAGGTGATTCTTCTAGGAGGAATTGCACTTATGAGTATTATATCAACGAAGAAGGCAGGAGACAGGTATGTCAAAAGTTTTTACTAAGTACATTGGATGTAACACAAAGGTTCATATTGTATACATTAAAAAATGCAAGTGAAGGATTTTCCAAAATAGATGGCCGAAAAAACAATGGGGGTCGTAACAGAACATCTGAAGATGTGATAAATAATTCTATCACTTTTATTAAGTTACTGCCTTTAGTACCGTCACACTATTGCAGAAAAGATTCAACTCGACTTTATTTACCAAGTGAGTTTAAAAACATTTCAAATCTTTACCGCATTTACACTAAATATTGTGACGATGGGAATGTAAAAACAATGTCTTTCAAAGTTTTTTCCAACTGGCTAAGAGAGAATTATAATATTGGCTTTCACATTCCAAAGAAAGATAAATGTACAATATGTATGACCCAAACTTACGATGTTAAAAAAGCGGAAGATATGGCTTCATATAATAGTCATTTACAGGAGAAAGACGAATCATATAAGAGATTTAAATTCCACGAAAATCTTAATGCCGTAGATTCAACTGTTATATGCGCCAGTTTTGATATGCAAAAAGTGCTTAATACACCCCATGGAGAAAATAATATGGCACTTTATTATACGAGAAAGATAGCCGTATATAATTTTACAATTTACGAGAGCAATACTCAAAAAGGATATGGACAGAAGTTGATGCACACCGAGGCGCAAATGAAATTGCCACATGCCTGTATAAATATATTCAGGAAGTGGATCAAAGACAGAATGTCAAGAAATTAATTTTTTACTCTGATTCTTGCTTTGGCCAGAACAAAAATAAAACTATTAGGTATGTTAAGGTATGTTCTGCATCAGCCCCATAATTTAGAGGTTATTCAAATAAATTATTTAATTCCCGGGCACACTTTTATGCCCGTGGACAGTATGCATGCTTCTATAGAGGGTGCTGTAAAAAAAACAACCATATGGGCTCCTTCTTTATGGCCTACGGTTATAGAGATGGCTCGCAGAAACCCAGCCCCATACAATGTTTCTGTTTTACAAGGCAAAGAATTTATAAGTTTCGATTCAATTTTAGACCATTCTTTTAAAAAGGTTAAGAAACTGCAGATTTCCAAAGTTTGTATAGCAACATTTAAAAAATCGAATCCAAACATTATGTTTATAAAACATTCTATGTTACCAAACACTGATGCCACAGAAATATCTTTGGGTATTCTGAACGATGCTGAACCAAAGGTCTGCCTATACCCAGCAAAATTACCTATTACATTACAAAAATATAATAATTTAAAAAAGCTTGTCGACAAAGGAATAATTCCAAAGGCATACATACGCCAATGAATACTTGAAATTAAAATACGATAAAAAAGTTGAAGATTTGCTGGAAGAAACAGATGATGAAGATGAATAGTAATCCAGATAATCTCTTTCTGCTAATTTTCGATCGTTTGTTAGAATTGCCCTCATTTTTATTTTTATTAAATACTTACTTATAGCTTACAGTTAAAATGGTTTCAGGGAGTACATACCAATCGTTTTTATTTTATTTTTGTTTAGAGATCTGAAATTCTGTTTTTACATTTTTGATTTCATTAAATAAAAACATTATCTAGCATATTGCATTTTATTTGTGTTTCGCCAATTATGTAATACTAGTTAAAACAAATAGCAAAAAGATGAAAAATAAACATATTCATTTAAAACACACTAACTGTCATCATAAATAAAACTTACATTTAGATACAGCAAGTTTGATGCCAGTCATTTTGAACAGGTTGCTGATAGTTCGAACATTTATGTTTTGAGATACAGCATATTCAATGTTTCTATTTTGAAAATCAAATGCTGTATCTAGTATTAAATCCAATTACACTAATCTTAGAATGACCCTCTAAATTGCAAATGGAAGGTTTTATTTTAAAATGTTATCACTTAAAATATGGTAGTTTTATGTCTACTAGTTACATTATAATGAATTTTTGAAATAGTTTTTTAGCTTTGGTGCACAGTTACATATTTCGAGATACGACAAGATCTCTTTCCCGCGTCGATATATTTTCTAGAGGTTTCGGCACTCAGTAAGTATTTCAGAACATAATCCAATGTTAATTTACTATCGTCTTTCGACATTATCGTGTTTTGAGATTATTATATTTGGAATCCAACCCTGAAATTATCTTTCCAACTGTCAACCCTTCTCTAAGATCTCCAAGTTCACATTGAATGCCGCGATTTATTACTCTTTGAAAATAATCCTCCAACCTGTCTTCACCTTGTGTAATATTAAAAAACTCGTTCCTTGCTATAGTTAGACTTTACTTTGGTTCAAAGTACGCTCTAAAATTTTTGAGCACCTGTTCAAAAGTATGTGATTCAGATGCGTTTAAGTTGAAAGAATTGTAGATTTTGATTTCATTTTCGCAATAAAATTCAGCAGAATTGATATTTTTCTTTTGTCTTTGGCGTTGTGGCGGTAGCCATCATACAACGCAAGATATTTGACAGATGCCTGAATCTCGCTTACGACATTTTCAAGATAAGTTCGCATATATACAAGTTCCGAACAACAACATTTGGACCGTCGGTCTACCGAGCAATATCACCCGCTCGGTGGAAGATCTTCCCTTTGTCGTATATTTCTATAGCGTCATCAAGACCATTAGCAGACAAATATATCTCCAACTTTTGACGATAAATCTTAAAATTTTCAGCAAGGCCAACCACGTAGGTTCCTCATGAACCACGGAGCTCCGATGGCTAGCCTGCTAAAGCGGGATTGTAGGAATTGGAGGGTGTCTATGTGTGTGCGGGCCGCGTGAGCGAACACCACACTCGCGTACAATCATGACGATCCTTATGCAAGCTTTGTAGCGTACAATCATGACCATCCTTATGTAAGCTTTGTAAAGTGTCCCCATGTTCCGAAGGGATATTTTACTCCGCTTACAGATCATGGGGTAGAGTATGCCGAGAATAAACGCGGCACGGTGGCGGACTGATTTTATATGTGGCTGGAATGTCATGGATGCATCGAGGGTGACTCCCAGGTACTTAAAATATTGCAGGATAAATTTAGGTCGGTGTCATGCGAAGCGCATAGACCTACATGCTGGTGTAACGTGACTACGCTTGACTTGACGAACCGGCAGTACTGCGCGGCATCATAATGACCTTCAAAGGTTTTGGAAAATGGAGGAAATTAATTCCCTAAATGAGCTTATTTTCACCCCCGAGGAAAAATTATGTGACTTACATTTTATTGAAAATATGCAACATGTTCCTAGTGGGTTTCAGTTAAATGCCTAAGAAAGAAATCCCTGAAGAGGCATTCGGTGATTCATTTTGTTTAGTCAAAAACGTTCCTTAAATTTAGAGTGTTGAAATTTATATCTAAATAATCAACACTAAGTACTGCTACCGACATCTGTAGTCACTAATGTGAAACTAACCTATATTAGTATTTGTATGTTTTATCTGTATATGTTTTTTTAATGAATAAAAACTAGTTTTCACTTGAGTCTCAACGTGCTTGTTTGGTTAGAGGTTATGGGCCCAGAATTACGTGGTTTTTTTTTTCCGTCACGAACTTGCAAGTTAGTGCTGTATAAGTTTGTGTGGACTGAGAATACACTGAGCCGGTGAAAATGAGTTCGAATTATGTTGTAAGCGTGCCAAAATTAAAAGGTCGCGAGAACTACCAGGTGTGTGATTTCGCCGCGAAGAATTTTCTAGTACTGGAAGGTACTTCGGACTGTATCAAAGTCACGAATGCGAATTCACGAATGTCAGCCGATGCGAAAACCAAGGCAAAATTGATTCTAACGATTGACTCGTCGCTATATGTATATATCAAGGATGTCGAAAATACGAAGAAATTATGGGAAAAATTAAAGCATTTATTTGATGATTCAGGATTTACTAGAAGGACCAGCTTGTTGAGAACTTTGATATCAATTCGTCTTGAAAACATGTACATCTATGACGTCCTATGTTACTCAGATAATAGAAACGAGCCAAAAATGGAGTGGATCGCGCTTTCATATTAATGATGAGTGGGTAGGATCATTGCTTTTAGCTGGATTATCTGAAAAATATTCGCCAAGAATAATGGCGATTGAACATTCGGGCATTAATATAACGGCCGACGCCATTAAAACAAAATTGATGGACTCGGAGGAAGACAGTGGCGACGTTAGCGGAGCATTTGCGAGTTATCGAAAAAAGTATGGCGCCAATACCGGAAGAACTCAGACGTCAACGTCAATGTCAAAACAGAAAGTAATCAAATGTTACAAATGTAAACAAACGGGACACTATCGTAATCAAAGTCCTAAGGATGTAAAAGATTCATCAAATAACAAATTCAGTAAACGTAAACAAACAAATGCGTTCAGTGCCGTGTTCCTAAATGGTTCTTTTTCGAAGAATGATTGGTCCATTGATTCAGGTGCTAGGTGCCCATTTGACAGCGAATGAACATTGAATTACAAATGTGTCGAACAATCATACAGTCCAAGAAATTATTGTTTCGAATAAAAAAATAAGGAACTTCGTTCCAAAAGTGTCTGTCAAGTACTCTGGTGATGTCAGATTAACAACATTGACAGATAATTGACGTGGTTGTTGAAGGAGTATTATGTGTACCTAGTTTGACGACGAATCTCATCTCCGTAAGTCAATTGATCGCAAAAAGCAACAAGGTCCTGTTTAATGATGATGGCTGTCCAATATTTAATAAGTGTAATGAGCTAGTTGCTACAACTTGCTTATTAAATGGAGTTTACAAGTTGAGAATGCCTGAAAGGCTGGTTACAGTGGTGACCTCGAGTGAAATTCGTCGGCATCGTCGGCTTGGTTATGTCAACAGTAACTATTTAAGTAAAATGCAGGAAGCTGTGGAAGGTCTTACACTTGATAGAAAGGCAGAAATATCGAAGTCGTCATGTATAGTGTGTTGCGAAGGGTAACAAAATCGTTTACCCTTTCCACATAATGGAAATAGAAGCGATGATCTCCTACAGATAATACATACGGATGTGTGTGGGCCATTCAAGAATGTGTCGCTTGGTGGTTCCAGATATTTTATTTTATTTTTTGATGACTATAGTCGCTACATCTATATTAATATTTTGAAAAACAAAAATGAAGCTTTTGAATATTTTCAAAGATACAAAGTTGAGGTGGAGAATAAATTAAACAGAAAAATTAAGATTCTTTGAAGCGACAATGGGAAAGAATTTGTGAATAAAGATTTTGATAATTATTTAAGTAAAGCAGGAATAGTTCATCAGAAAAGTAATCCATACACACCAGAACAGATCGGCTTGGCAGAGAGATTTAATCGTACTGTGGTGGAAAAGGCAAGGTGTCTGCTCTTTGATGCTAAAATGGACGAAAGCTTTTGGGCTGAAGCAGCCAATACTGCTGTATACTTACAAAATAGGATAGTGACGGCAAAATTTGAATGAAACACCTTTTGAGATGTGGAATGGAGTAAAGCCAGATATGCTAATATCTGGCTTGTAGCATGTTAAAAATTATTTGTAAAATAATATTGTTATTATTACATAAACTGTAAGATGTAAAAATAGATTTAAATTTTAATAATTAATTGTGTGTTGAGCGGTCAAACGATCCGTATTTTTATATAGTGACTGCGAGTGAACAAAGTTGTTTTTAATGTAGAAATATAAAATAAATGCATATGTACAGCTAGACACACTTTGTA